TGTGTGTGTGTGTGTGTGTGTGTGTGTGCGTGTGTGTGTGTGTGTGTTCGTCTGCCCTAGTATTTCAAATCAGTAATTGAGCAAGTTTAGATGCTGAAACTTTGTCAATGTATGTCCTGGCATAGGATGGCCCACAAAAAAATGACGCCAATATTTGAGCACGTCTGCACATGTGAAGTACGATATTCCACATTTTTCCAGCACTGCAGTCAGTGATCTAGGGTTTTCCATTATTGAAGGTGCTTGATTTGTGAAGTGAAGAATGGAAGCCAAGTTTTGCATTTAAGAGACAACATCGTATGGCACTTAGAATCCGTTAGTAATGAGGAAAAAATATTTTGAAGCATCAAATAATACCTATTACCAATTGATGCTAAGATTAGTGGATGAAGTTTTAACTGAATTCAGGACAAAGATTGAACGCAGCACACTGTGCATACTCCGAACTGATCATTTTTCAAGATTTGGAATTAGAAAGCATGCACACTCAGCAAAGCAGCATACCTGCATTTCTGGGCGTGAGCCTTAACGAAGCAGTGAGCAGCAGTTAACACATGTTTCTTGGAAATTAATGTGCCGGTACAGTGGACATCTGAAATTCGAGTTCATACTATGAAGAATAATTTCGCTAGCTTAAGGCTATATTGTGAGATGAGTGCTTGTGTCGACAATTGTTATTTCGAAAAGTCATGGCTTTCTCCTTCAGACTGTTCATTTCTCCTTGAACTGAATCCAAACTCTGATGAAACAGAACTGACTGAATGAATTTCACTAGAAATCAACCGATAAATAAACCCTGCTCCGATCCTTGCTTTCGCTCTATTACTCAATCCCATTCGCCTTATGTAGGTAACCGGAACACAGAACAAGCTCATCATCAAAATTGTAACTTATGGCCACTGGAAAGGCCAAACCGCAATTTAAAAAAAAAAAACAATTGGCCAAGGCACCGACTGTCCGTGCGAAGATGCATTTTTTGCACAGTTTCCCGCCGGTTTTTGTTGGTGACGGCACTGCTTTTTTCGGCAAATGCATCTAGCTAAAAGAATTTTAGACTGGTCGCTAGAAATGTCAGGAAGCACCCCTTCAAAGCTCCAGTCTTCTAGCTTCTCACGTTCCCGAGTTAGCGACTTGCCCGTAAAAAATTTCACGGATCCGTACGTGGGTATCACGCATACCTGCTATCTATTTTGAGCTCATTAACACCTGCGTGGACAAATTTTCTCAAAATGACAGTCTTCTAGCTTTTCAGATTCCCGAATTAGCGGCTTACCCGAAAAAACTTTCATGGGCTCGTGCGTGGGAACCACGCATACTCGGAGGCTGGTTTTGAACTCATTAACACTTAGATGGATGAGGAACATCTAATTAAAATTTCAACTTTTTAGCTTTCTTGACTCCCAAGTTAGCGACTTGCCCTGAAGAAGCTTTGGCGGACCTGTAGGTGCGTGGGTAGGAGCACTCGTTTTGGGGATTGGGCCCTTGCGCGCACGTAGGTTAAGTTCCCAAAGTTTTAGCCCTGTAACTTTTATAGGTCTTGAGATGAAAAATCAGTACAGACGCATATACAGACAAACGGGCCCCGCAGTTTTTGTCGCTATCAGCACCCCGTTTTTCCGGCAAATGCTATTTGCTAAACAAATTGAGACTGGCCGCCAGAACTGTCAGGAAACACCCTTTAAAATTTCAGCTTTCTAGCTTTCCTGGCTCCTGAGTTAGCGACGTACTGGAAAAAAACTTTCACGGACCCACACATGGGTATCACGCATGCCCGATGTCTGGATTTGAGCTCTTCAAGACTTACTTGGACGGGGAACATCCCCTTAAGATTTCAGCTTTCGAGTTCCTCAGATGTTCGGCTATCAACCTACCGGAAAAAAATTTTGGCAGGTCTGTGCGCAGTACCACAATTGCCCGGGGCTGAGTTTGGGCTCATTAATACCTACTTGGACGGGGAACAACCCCTTAAAATTTCAGCTTTCGAGCTTTTCTGGCTCGTGAGTTAGCAGCTTACCCGTAAAAAACTTTGGCGAGCTCTTACATGAGTACCATGCGGGTAAGACCGCCCATTTTGGGAACGGGGACGCGCACGCGCATGTAGATTAAGGTCCCAAAGTTTCAGCTCTGTAGCTTTTGGTATGTCTCGAGATGAAAATCGGTACAGAGGCCTGCGCACACACAGACACAAACACACACACACAGACAACCTCTCGTCAATATGCATTTTGCGCACTGCATACCCGCAATAAAAGCATAAAAACACGTAATTATGACTACGGACCAAACACTCGAAGCTTTAATTGCCTAAGTCTTTTTTATGAGTTTTGGAATTAATGCAAACTGCAAAAACGCACATTGCAACGACCTTGTGGGTGTAATATATCTGTGTGTGAGTGTGTGTTCGCCTGTCCGGGTATTCCAAATCGACAACTAAATAAGCTTCGGCGCCAAAGTTTTATCAGTTGGTCCCCTGGCCAAGTGCTACCCCAAAACCGCGACACCAACCCTTACGCACGTGTGGGCTCTGTGTGTAAGCCGTAAAAATTTTGGCAGAAAAAATGCTAACTCGGGAGCAAGAAAAGTTGAGATTATTTTCCCCATCCGCATAAAAGTCAAAGATTTCAAACTCAGCTCTCAGTGGTCCTCTTGTAGGCCCTGCAAAGGTTCCTGGTGGAAAAATCGCTAACTTGGAAATCAGGAAAGCTGGGGGTCGAAATTTTAGCGGGATTTTCCCAACCCATGTACAATTAAAGTCATCAAATTCGGCCACCAGGCATGCGTGTTTCTCATGTACGGCTTCGTGAAATTTTTTGACAGGAAAATAGCTAACTCGGGAACCAGAAAAGCTAGGAGGCTGAAATTTTAAAGGCATATTCCCAGTCTATGCACAACTTAAACATTTCAAATTCTGCCTCCAGGTCATGCACGGTCCGATGAAAGTTTTGGCAGAAAAATTACTAACTCGGGAGCCAGAAAACCTGGAAAGCTGAAATTTTAAGAGAATATTCCTCGCCCAAATATATCTTGAAGTTTTAAATACTCAGCTTGCAGGTACGCATGGTTCTAGTGTATGGGTACTTAAGCTTTTGGCAAGGAATTTGCCCGTTGAACAACTGAGTCATTTCAAAAAACGACGCTAAACGAAAATTACTTATTTTCGTTGACGCAAAATTTATGATGATTTACGGTATTGAACACACAAAGAAAGTGCGAAGCAACAGCCATCCGTGCTTATTGAAGTTTGGTGCAAAAACACGTGATCGCTCCGGCACAGTTGTGCTTTCGAGCTTGGGTTTCATGAATTTAAGGTCCAAAAAGAAAATTAATGCAAATGGAAAAAACAAATGAAAATTTTTTTGTGTTTTATGCATTTTGCGTTGAAACGGTGCAAAACAAAAGTGTTAAGACCTTGCCTGTGACACCGCACTCACCTCACTAAATTGTCTTTACATCACACACATGCTGAGAAAATCATCTTAGAAATTCAGCTTCCTGGCTTACTTGGTTCCTTTCAAGTATGCAACTCCTGCTAAAATCTCAAGCTTTTCTGGTACTGCACCTGCCCAGGGAACCCATTAGCAGAACTTTAGATTTGCCTGGTTGCCCAGCTGAAATACCCTGACAAACAGACAGATAATCAGACATACCGAAAAACACTGAAAACCTTTGGACAGTATACCTTTTAATTTGCATAAAACGTGAAAAGACGTAAAAACAAACTATTGTAGCGAATGAGTACAGCCCATGGGTGCTCACCGAATGCCACATCTTCACCACCCATCATTTTCATCTGGTAGGGCGGCCTTTCCGAATCCGTGCCTAGTCTAGCACGACCACGTAGTGGCCTTCCGCACTCGTTTAGGTCTAAATAAACATAAAATTCAGTAAACAATTGGATTTGACGCAATTTTAGTTCTATCTCTGAATGCCACTAACCGTAAGTTGTCGTATTGAGTGCTGTGAACACGGTTCTCGTTTGCCCGACTGCAAACCATCAAATAAATTATAAAAATATTTCAAAGTCTCGAATTTTTGTAACGTTTAATAACCCAGATTTGAACAGTGTTCACTCAGACGATAGAACCATTAATTAAGAAGACAAAGATGAAACAACATTTCATAGATATAAGCTTATTTCACTTGATTCACCCCTTATTTCAGTCTGCTTCTTCCCCCTCTTTCCTCCTCCTTTTCCTACCTTGTCACACTGCGTTAGTTGCATGGCGGAAAGGGACGGCCGATCCTCTAGCATCGCTTTCCCCTGTCTGTGTAATCAGGTTAGGTGTAACACGGACAAATTTCCAAATTATTAAACTGAGGTTTACAACCCTTCTCCTTCCTCCTTTCGCTTCATCGTCCAAACTAATCACCGTCTTTTTATGCGTTTTTGCATATATGTAAATTGCAAAAACGCATATTGGGAAGAGGCTGCCTGTGTGT